TCTTGCGTTCAAGCCTCACCTTGACCTCGGTGACCATATCTTTCAGGTCGACTAGAATGCCTTCCTTTTCGGGATGACCCTCTTGCAAGCCCATCTCCTTCACCTTGACCTTGCCAGCTGCAACCTCGTCGTCTCCGAGGAAAATTGCAAATGGGACGCCGTTGACCTCGGCAGCCTTGAACTGCGCGGGAACCTTGGGCTTGATCTTGTAGAGGAATTCGGCCTGTGTGTTGTGAGAAATTTGTATTGCGTCAAAGGTGAGCCGGAAACTGAGGGGAAATGCGTACCTTGATACCTGCTTCCCATAGCTGAGCACAAATGGACATGCGCTCCTTGAGAAAGCCCTTTCCGCCAAAGGCCATGACATAAACATCGACCTCATTATTCCGGACTAGAGATGTGTTGGTAGCCGCAGCCATACGGGCCTTCGTGATCGAGAATATTCTGTCGACACCGAACGAAATACCAACACAGGGAATTTGAGTCTTGCCAGAAAACATGCCAACAAGACCATCATAGCGACCACCAGCCGCCACACTGCCAACGCCAATAGTAGGGTCGTTTGACCGATCATCGTCTTCGGCATCAGGACCCTTACCCTTCTTCTTCTTGGCAGGTTTTGGTGCCTCCGCTTGCTCAGCACCAGGAGTTGTAGAGGGAGCGGACCCTTCCGTTACCACTTCGTAGATAATACCTGTGTAGTAGTCTAGACCACGGGCTAAGCTTAGGTCGAAAGAGACTCTGTCTAGGACATTGAAAGCCTCGAGGTATTCGAAAAGGAGACCGATGTCGGTCATACCCTGCTTCATGAACTCGTTGGCAGCGAGCTTCTCGTCACTTCGGAGGCGCTCGAGGAGATCGTTCTGTCCCTTCAGCACAACCCACTCCCCAATGCGATCAGCGACTTCACCGTCGAGTCCCTTTTCCTCTGTCATTTCCTTGCGTACGTCGGCCCATGGGAGCTTGTCGAGCTTGTCTACCGCAGATGAAATGGTGCGAATCTTGTCTTCGGGCACTCCACAAACCTGGAAGATGCCATCCAGAATCTTTCTGTGGTTCAACTTGATTGTGTAAGTCTTGTTCCAGCCCAGTCCCTCGAAAACTTCACAGATGATTCTGATGATCTCGGCGTCGGGCAACATGGGGTCGTAGGTACCGGCAACATCGAAATCGCATTGATAAAACTCCCTCATTCGTCCCTTGGTCATGGCAGGTTGATCTCGTCGGTAGACCTTGGCGATGTGATAGCGCTTGATATTTTGGATGTCCTTGTTCATGGCAAGGAAACGAGCGAATGGGACGGTCAGATCATAACGCAGGGAGCAGATCTCACCACCCTGGTCCGCGAGGTCGTAAATAAGCTTGCTATCCTCGCCATATTTTCCGGCAAGGATGTCTCTGAGCTCGAAGACGGGCGTGTCGATGGTGACGCCACCGTGGCGCTTGAAGACTTCTGTGATGGTGCTGAAGATCTTATCACGAATAACCATATCCTGGCCACCCCCTACACGCGATGGTCAGACAGCTGATGATGAATTGGTCATTGGGTTCGGTTCGCTTGAGCATGTCCGGGTCCGTAGACGTGGCGGCGTGCTTGGCGTGTGTTTGCCTACTCACAATCTTTGGTGCCCTTTGGGGTCTTGAGCTCGAACTTGGGTTTCGGAGCCATCTCGATGGGTTCTTCGGGTGGTGTGTGGGAGGAAGAGTAACGACGAGGTGAGGCAGGTGATGCGAGAGCGGCAGACAACAAGATCTGTTTATTTCTGCGGGTCGTGAGAGTCGGTTGCCAGGGCCTTGGACGCAATTGTGACTCAAGGAGGGGTTGGAATAATGGTCTGGCAGACCCAAATCTGCCTGCAAGTGTCTTCATCCACACGGATGGAGGGGTAAAATACTGCCCGGGTCTACTGACTGCTGCTTAGTGGATGAGGAGAGAGTCAAAATCCTGCCCAAAAAAACCCACTGCAGGCACCTTTCGCGTCCGCCAATAGCAGCTGCCCCTTGCACCGGGTTACGTCGCTGCTGCCCCGCCTAAGTTGCTGGCGGATGGAGGGGTTGAGGGGCAGCCCGCCGAGCCCGTCTACCTAGTGCTAGAAGCATGTCCTGCTACACTCTTGGAGCTATGACGACCTAGTATTTTTAATACTTCAGGCTAAAAATATAAACAAATAAACAGACAATACACTCTATCATCGAACCATGGATGTTTACGGTGGACCCGCCTCGGTGCCTGGAGATCAACACGCACAGAGCAGCAATGGACTTCATCGCGTGAGTCAGAGGGCGTCTTGCTGACGCACCCAGTCCTTCGACTCACCTTAAGCTCAATTGATAGGGATCTCCCTCGGCTGCTTGAAATGCCGTTGATTCTTGGAAAGACAGCCAATCCAATCGCTAAATATGACACTCGCACTCAGCCCACTATGGCCACTGATAATGGTATGCTCTAGGGTGGGCGCTTTACTGGTGACCGAGCTATTGAAATGCGTGCAGTATGCTTACTCGCCTCAAGGAAAATATATTGTGTAGACCCCCTTATATAGTATATTGCAAGTATTCCGTACGATAAGCTTCTATGTCAAGGAGATATTCTCAGTAGTACTGCCTTTGCCCGCGCAAATGCAAAATCTAGTATCATGTCTGATAACAAGTTCGCCGAAATTAAACGCGGTCTTTGGGATTCTCTGAAGCATACACCCCTCATGACAGGGACCATAGAGCTGAACTGACTGTTCCAGCACCAGTCAACGGCACGCTACAACTTACACGTATTTCATCCTGCTAACTTGATTCTAATCAAAAAAGAGAGGGGAGCATTAAAAGGGTAGCCTCCCGTGCATGCAGCAGCTACATCTCACGTCATGGCTAATTTCACTTCCAAGGCTGTGATCTTCGCCATAGCTCTACTCATAATTGCTCGTCAATTTAGTGTCTGATTTTTTCTGTCAACTAGTTGGTAGGTGCTGATGGGTGTGAATGATGAACATATCACACCGGCTGTATCAAACTAGAGATCAATACGTAACTTGTTTCACACAAGCACTATTGTGCCTGACCCGCGTGTTAGGACGGCTATACTTCTCAGTCATCTGATGAGTCAAAGATGGGAAAGTGTATGATAGGTGCCTTAGACCCAGGCACTGCTTCGTTCAAGTTGTTGCTAGTGCCCTTGGCATTGTGTCTCAAGACACTAACACCAACACCACGGGACTTGCTGAATTTGCTTCTCTCGTAGTTGAGATGTTCGGTTGCAGAAGGTTTGTGAACCTCTGTCAATCTGCTGGTTCTTTTGTTGAATAAAACACTGAACCATGGACGAGACCTGACGCTGACTATATGAACCGGCTACCTGAGTCGCTGCTTCGAGATTCGAATAACACCAAGATCTAAGCCGAATGGCGGAGTATCCCTACCAGATATTCAATTCAAAATATCGCGATTGACATTCACCAAGAAATGAGGCATTGTTTCATCGTCGCGCGTTCATACCGCTTGAAGCTGTCGCTCATAGAAGCACGGCTATTGCGTTGATACAAGTGGATCTGGGGCATACATGATGTACTTCCTGGAATCTTATCATGGTCAATAATTATTTAGCACATGAATTAACAATGTTTAGTGCTTTGCCTGATTGCCCTCAGTAATCTGACAATGTTAGTCACAGACTGGAAATAAGCAGGATAGTGTTTGAGTGTCTCAAATTTGATATCACCCGGCTGCTAAGCTCTTGCTTACCGGCATCTCGGGGTGGAAGATGACACCGACCGGCCGAGCCATGACAGCGACACGGAGCGGGTGCGGGGCGCCTTGCCACAACTGGGGCACCACAAAGCGACGAACCCGAGAAGCTGGATCGAGCAAAACCACCCGAGCTTGATATTCGCATTTGCAAAAGCTATGAAACGGTATATAACGGTTTGCTCATTTTCGACTGAGAGGATAGATGTATTTAGAAAGCCAAGCGTCGTGCCGATTTGATCACTATGCTGCACTTTTCTCCTGTTTTCCGATGTACGTTCTAGACAAGATGAATACACGTATGTATCTATTCGGAACGAACGAGAAGCAAGACACACATTGTCTGACATGCTGGTAGACTTGCATTGGGAAAGCCCACAGGCAGGGATCGGAATTACGTGCGTGCATCTAGACCCAGCCGCTAATCTTATCATTTACAGTCTTGTTAACCTCAAGTCCAAAGCTTATCAAACTGAGTTTTAGGGTGTGAACGGATGGAGAAGATAGTCATGGTACGCAATAGGCAGCATGTGATTATTTGCAGCCAAACAATTGTAAAATTCCTTTAACATGCATGGTGACATGTAATGTGAGAACAGCCGTTTAAACTTCAACGCATAACTGTTTTGGTGCCAAGCCTTGATAGTGGGAAGGGTGGACCCCCCGGAAGATCTTAGCGAAAGCCGACCTCCTGATGCCAAAAAGAGGGCCCCCTATTGGACTGTTCGCTAGATGTTGGAGCACTTTAATTCGCATGCGCACGCTACCGAGTACTTGCACGGTACCAGTACAACTTAAGGCCAAGCAGCTTGAGCTGTCGCCCTCTTGCGCAGCGGTGGTTTCTGTCGTATTTCGGGTTCGTACTGGTATCCGAGCACCACTCCACCCAGACCTGTGCTTACCCGCTGCGAGAACATGGCTGCCTGAGGTGGCTAGAGGCTACATTAACCGGAGCAGCCTGCTGGGATAAGGTACCACCAATGTACCTACGGTTGCCTAAGGCATGGGGGCAGCTCCAACGCCACATATCAGCTTCATAGGCGCAGGTGCAGGGAGCCAAACCTCCAAATTACTATGCCATCCTTTTAAATAGCGGGCTGACTGTCCTTCTGCCATGCCTGTCCCTTTTCACTGTCTGCTGTCTTCTGGCTAGTCAACCTCAGCTTCTGCCGACCAGCTGCCGACCTGGCCATTTGTATTCTGCCCCCTTTCTCATCCCAGACTAGTTTTCTTGGTAAATGGGCGGAGAATCATAACGCGCCATGGCTGACGAGAAGAGCCAACCGGCGGAGGCCGTCAGTTCAACGGCGGACCAGAGCCCATCAACTGAAAAGGTTACCCAAGGGGCAGTTGTCACCAATGTTCCAGATGCTGAAGAAGACAAGGAAAAGCATGCGCGGCCTGAACGGACAGCCAATTTTCAGGATTATATGGTTGGTACAAGAACGGCCTTCAACACAATGCCAGAAGCTGACTCTGTTTGTTCTTTTGTATCTTTTTTAGCGCATCTTCCGATATGCTACGAAATGGGACTTGGCGGCCTATGCTGCCGGGCTCATTGCTGCCATTGGGTCGGGAGTGACCTTGCCTTTGATGAATGTGATTTTTGGTATATCAATCTCTCATGCCTATCTATCTAATGACTGTCTGGCTACGGAACCGTCCTCAAACGCGGGGCTGACACCTTTAAAGGCAGATTTGTGGGAAAATTTAGTGAATTCTCTACGGGTAGAGTCGACGGCTTCGAAAAGGACATTAATCAACTGGCGTGAGTAAAATAGAGTACCCTCGCTGACCTACGGCTCTAAGCTCATACTCTTAACTTAGATTGACCATGTTTGGTCTTTTCCTCGCCCGGTTTGGTCTTGGGAGCATCAACAAGGTGAGTGCGCTGCCTACCGGGCTTCAACGCTTGACCAATTCCTGCTGTGTTCCATCATGAAAGATTCCCTACTAACTGATGTCAAGTTTGCATTCCGAATGATTGGGATCCGACTTTCTGCTGCAATTCGACTACACTATCTTAAGAGTTTATTTAACCAGACCGTGCATGTGACCGACATTTTACCCCCTGGGTATGCTGTCGGAACCATCACTTCAACAAGCAACATCCTCCAACTTGGCATCTCCGAAAAGCTAGGCGTTTTTGTCGAGTATAACTCCTTGATTATCGCCTCCATCATTGTCTCCTTTACTTGGAGTTGGGAGCTCACCCTGGTCACGTTCTCAGGTGTCGTCTTTATACTTCTTGCCGTGTCTATCATCCTACCGCTTGTCCTCAAAGGCCACGCTCGGATGGGCAAAGCCGAATCTGGAGCAGCAGCAGTTGCCAGCGAGGCCCTTGCTAGTGTTAGGATGATCATGGCCTGTGGCGCCGAGAAGCGGACGGTGGAACGATATGCTGCTTTTGTCGAAGAAGCCAAGAAACATGCTCAGGTCTGAGTTATCTGTGTGTCTCGCGTATTCTATTGTTGCTAACCGTTTACTCCCAGTTCATGTCGCCTCTAATTTCACTGCAGTTTTCTCTCGTGTTTTTTGGCGCATTTGCTTCTTTCGGTCTGGCCTTTTGGTATGGAACAAGGGCCTTCACCCAAGGCAGAATCGATTCTGTGGGTGTCATTACTGTGGTCCTCCTTTCCGTCATGATGACGGTCTTCTCGTTGGAGCGCGTGTCCACACCCCTGCTGGCTGTTGGCAAGGCTTCTGTCGCGGCCTGTGAGTTTTGGACTGTAAGTTTGTATTGGTCTACTAAGGAACCATTGAGTTTCTAGCCCTTGTCGTCAAACCCCCAACTTCCCAAGGCTAACTTCGGATCAGGTCATTGATGCCCCCCAGCCTAACAAGGGGCACCTCAAAGATCCCGAGGTCTCTGCAACTCAGGATATTGTGTTTGACGAGGTGACATTCGCGTATCCTAGTCGGCCACATGTCAAGATCCTCGACAACTTGGATTTAAACATCGAGGCAGGGAAAATCACTGCTATTGTTGGCCCATCTGGGAGTGGCAAGAGTACAATTGTAGGGCTCATTGAAAAATGGTACAGCCTCAAAGGCCAGTATCTTATTGCCAAGGCGGTGGAGAAAAAGAAGGACAAGAAGAAAGGTGACGATGACGAGGAAGCGGCTGAGCGAGTCGAGCCTGAGGAGACCGGACCTGTGGTTCCGCTCAGCGGTTCTGTCACCACTGGCGGTCATTCTCTCGATGATATCGAGTCGAAATGGTGGAGATCGCAGATTGGCCTTGTGCAACAGGAGCCTTTCTTGTTCAACGATACCATTTTCAAGAATGTTGCTAATGGACTTGTGGGTTCACCATGGGAAAATGAGACTGAGGAGCGCAAGCGAGAGTTAGTCAAGGAGGCTTGTGTCGAGGCCTTTGCCGACGAGTTTATTGACAAGCTCCCGGAGGTAAGTCTACACGGTTCATGCGGTTACGCTTGTATAAATATGGAATTCTGACCGCTACTGGCAACACCAGAGATATGACACCGTGGTTGGTGATGCTGGAGGTCGGCTATCAGGCGGTCAGAAACAACGCATTGCCATCGCTCGATCTATCATCAAGAAGCCCTCAATTCTGATCCTCGACGAAGCCACGAGTGCGATCGATGTCCGTGGAGAGAAGATTGTTCAGGCCGCCCTCGATAAGGTGGCTCAAGGACGAACCACTATCACCATTGCTCACCGTCTGTCCACGATCAAGAAGGCCGATAAGATTGTTGTGCTGAAGAAGGGAAAGGTGGTCGAGACCGGAACCCACGAGACTCTCATGAACAATGTCGGTGGCGTGTATCATGGTCTTGTTCAAGCCCAGGCACTTTCTCTTGGGGAGCCGACCAACACAAACATTGACTCTGACATCAGTTTGGACGAGGCTGACTCTCTTACTCGTGAGAAGAGCCAAGCGAAATCGGAGCGTGAGGTTGGAAAAGGCAGCCCAGAGAAGCCTGGCCAGAAGAAGAGAAACCTTTTTAATTCCTTCGGACGCTTCTTTTTTGAAACTAAATCTCACTGGTATTTGATGTTTTTAGCAGTGACTTTTGCTGCTGGAGCTGGCGCGGGTTGTATGTCCATGAATCATTCCTTCGTTTCAGAGATGTCTTTCTAACGTTTTTGAATCAGTGCCGATCCAGGCTTTCTTATTTGCATCATCGATCGATTTGTTCAAATACGCAGCCGATCTGCCCAAACTTATGTCCGAAGCCGAATTTTGGTCTCTGATGTGGACTGTTCTCGCAATCGGCGTGGGAATCGTCTATTTTGGGGGGTTCCTCTCGTCGACTAGCATGGCTACTGTCGTTCGCGCCAAATACCAGAAGCAATACTTTGAGACAATTCTTTTCCAAAAGGCATCCTTCTTTGACGAAGAAGACCATTCTCACGGCACCATGACATCTCGCACCAAGGATGATCCCCAGCAACTGGAGGAGCTCATGGGAGTGAACATGACCATGGTATACATTGCCATCTTCAGCATCATCGGATCCATTATAATTGCTCTCTCTTTTACATGGAAGCTGGCTCTCGTTGCTATCTGTGTTGTGTTGCCCATCACAGCAGCAGGTTCGTATTTCCGTCTGCGATACGAGCTTCAGTTCGAGAAGATGAATAATGCAGTCTTTGCAGAGAGCTCCCAGTTTGCCTCTGAGTCTTTTGGCGCTTTCCGGACTGTCACATCTTTGACTCTTGAGGACTCGATAACTGAACGATTTGAGAAGCTCTGCCAGGGCCATGTTGTCACGGCTTATAAGAAGGCCCGCTGGGTCAGCATCATCTTTGGATTCGCCGACAGCTCCACCATGGCTTGTCAAACACTCATCTTTTATTATGGTGGCCGACTTTTGTCTAGAGGCGAACTTGACGTGATGGCTTTCTTCGTCTGTCTGATGGCTATTATGAACGCTGGCGAGTCGTCTGGGCAAAGCTTGAGTTTCGGGCCTAATGCTGCACAAGCAACAGCTGCATCCAATCGCATACTGGACGCCAGAGAGTCCCGGTTCCATGATCAAGTCGACGACAAACCAGCTTTTGAGCATGTCGAAGGTGGCATGAAGATCGAACTCAGGGACGTTGGGTTCAAATACCAGACTCGCGAGACCCCTGTCTTTAAGCATTTGAATCTCACAATAGAGAAGGGTCAATTCGCTGCCCTGGTAGGCGCATCCGGGTGCGGCAAGACTTCGATCATCAGTCTTCTAGAGCGGTACGCCTCTGCCCTCCTCTACTTCACAGTTGCCCAGATCGAGAGCTAACTATTGTAATTAGGTTCTATGACCTTAATCATGGACAAATTCTTTGCAACGATAAGGACATTTCCGAGCTGAATATCTACTCTTACCGCAAACACTTGTCGCTTGTAGCTCAAGAGGCCACTCTTTTCCAAGGTACGAGCATCTCAGGGCGGCAACATAAGTAACAAGTTGCGCAGGCATTGACAGACCTATAGGAACCATCAAAGAAAATATTCTGCTAGGGGTGGATCCGGAATTCATCACGGAGGAGAAACTACACGCAGCTTGCCGCGACGCCTCCATCCACGACTTCATTGTCTCCTTGCCTGAAGGCTACAATACTAACATAGGCAGTCGAGGAGTGTCCCTCAGCGGTGGACAGAAGCAGCGCATCGCCATCGCGCGCGCCCTTATCCGAGACCCCGATATCCTTTTGCTAGACGAGGCAACGAGCTCCTTGGACTCGGAGAGCGAGAAGCTTGTGCAGGCGGCGTTCGAACGGGCCGGAAAGGGCAGGACCATGGTTGTCGTGGCTCACCGACTGGCCACTGTGCAGAATGCCGATGTCATCTTTGTCCTGGGCGAAGGCAAACTCCTCGAAAAGGGTTCTCACGTCGAACTTCTAAAGAAGCAGGGCGTTTATTATCAAATGGTATGTTCCGCAGCTATGGGGTGTCTATCGCCCTTGGAACTTTTCTCCTCCTCCCCTGGATACGCAGACTGGCCGATTTGCTGACCCTGATTCCCCGTTGCAGTGCCAAAGCCAAGCTCTTGACCGGTAGTTGAGAAAGCGACCCGAACCCACCGACGCAACCTGTTGCACCCGGGCTTAGAATATATGTGCAGCATTGGTTTTGTGTATAATGTTGTCTTAATATGGCATCCACCCTTTGCGCGTTTTTGGCATGAGACTACTCTGCTCTTTTGACTTTGGATTTCTTTTTTCAGGATACAACTCCCCCTTCGCCTTGTTATAATTCACCGTTTTCAGGATAGATATCATTCTTGGGATAAAAAACCCCTTCAATACTCTCAGAAATGTACAAGAATCCCTATGTAATATACTCTATTTCTCTTTCCCAGAAGCTTTTCCGCCACATCGCACCAAGCAAGCCCGAATCCAAATCAATCCACCAAACCAAAACTTAAACGAGGGCCGCCTCCGCCCAGATCAATTCAACACAGCACATGACATGCTGGAACCAATAGTTAAATGCCAGGTTATAATAGGCACATACAATAGGGTGGTCATCAGTAATGTTAGACCTATTGAGGTCTTCTATATCCCTAAGAAGTACCTGATCCAGCACCTGTGCCCTGTCCACCTGGTCGCTGCAATACAGAGACAAACCCAGCAGATGCAGCTGCCGGATTTGCTCTGTTGTCAGCGGCTTCGTTGCCGCGAGAAGCCCTCGGATTGAACGCAGGCTTGAGGATTTTATGGATGTGAGTGTTAGATAATGACATCTTGCTGTTGTTATTGCTGTTGCTGCTGTGTGGGAAAGTGGCTGTGGTTGGTGGTGATGAGCGTCCCCTCTCGGGGCCATGGCCGACTTATATATTGGCTGGCCCCTGTTAGAGTTTTCGGAGATGTTGATGCCTGTGCCCAGGCTGAAAGAAGTTTGTATGGTATTGAAGTTTTGTGCATAGGCCGCAAATTATGTTTAAAAAAAAACTGTGTGATCAGTCACGTGTGTAGCCTGATCTTGGGATAACCCTTGTTTACGGCAAAAAAAAAAAAAAAACAATACTCTATTTCTCATTAAAGCTGGTCTGCGAAGAGAGCGAAAGCAACAGTCTTTCTGCATGTCTTTTATTCTATCACCATGGCGCCGGGTTCCTACCCAAAGGAGAAAGGTATAGCGTAGAGAGGAAAAAGCAGAGAACCAGTGATGAAAAAGAACAACGCCTAGCTTTGCCTTGTGGAAGAACTCCAATCCCTCTAAGAAAAGCAAACACCACCCCAAATCATAGCCGTACCCTTTAATTCTAGTTGAGCCTGATTAGGCTTTAAGAAGAGGAGTTGGAATACCAAAATTTGTCAAGGACCTCGAGGATGTCCCGAGCATGGGTCATGACAAAGTCGTGGCCACCTTCAAGTTCTCGCCACAAAACATTCTCCTTGCCGCCGATCAACGAAGGGCCCTGGCGATTGTAGTCATCGATGTCAATGATCTCATCACTTTTGGCAAGGAGGATGGCGGTGCTCCCAGGTCTCCGGTCAGCAAGGCGGCGCCAGCTGTCGTGTTGGTCTGTCAAGGGAGAGTGCCGAATGCTGGACATAAAGGATGGGATGAATCCAACGTGGTTGAGGACCATCCAACGAACGTAGAGCAGGACGCGGTGCTCCAGGGGAGTGACATCCTCGCCGGGTGGAGGGTCAGCCGCTTCAGCCTTGGCGATGGTCTCGAGCTTGGCGGGCAAGTTGTGGCGAGGAGACCTGGAGGCGGCAATGGGCTGCTGCAGTCGGCTCCGGGTCAAGACGGCCAGGATACGCTCTGGGATCAAACCAGAAGAGAAGACGAAGCGTGAAACGACGCCAAAGCTCCGGGCGTCAATAAGACCAGAAGGAGCAAGCAGGACGAGGGAGTCTACCAGATGAGGCAGATGGTTGGCCAAGTGAACGGCTATGCCGCCACCAAGGGAGTAACCGACGACACGGAGACGAGCATCCTTGCCAGTCCAGGCCAGAGGGCTAGAGGCGAGCACAAAGAGGATTTGAGAGAGGTAGAGGCGTTCATCATAGGGGAGGTCGCCTACACCATCAGAAAAGCCACGGCCGAATAGATCCTAGGAAGAAGCAAAGTGGTCTTTGTCAGCCGATTTAAGATTCCCCCGAAGAGAATATATGCCAAGGTCATATGATAGGTACTAGACCATAAGCCAGAGGAAACCACTTACAAACAACATCACACGGCAGCCATGCTTCTCAACGAGGCCTTCAGCGATGCGGCAGAGGGTGACACAAGATGTGCTAATGCCGTGGATGAAAAGGACCTTCTCGCCATCCTCGGGACCAAATTCATAGACACGGGTAGAGCCATACTATGCACGCAAAAGAACATCGCCTTAATTAGCCTTTCAGATCGTATGATATAAAGCTAAGCTTGTAATACGGCCCCTCCTCCCACCTCTCACCACACTCCACGAGGAAATGGGAATGCAGACTCACCGGAGTGTCGACATCTCTTGCGCCGGGGAACTGGTTAGGTTGGTAGACGAGGTCGGTGAAAGTATCGGCCGAGGCGACTGCAGCCGGAGACAGCGTCTTGAGCGGGCTAGGTAGGACCTTCTCTCTCCGAGGCCAAAGAGATATCTTGCCAAAGGCGATGAAGGCTGTGGTGGCTATGGCCGTAGCGGTGACGATAGCAGTTGTGGATGACGGCCAGGCGCTGGCGGATTCGAGCGCGGACCCCATTGTGTCGGCAGCGGGCGGGGGACAAGATCTGTCGATGATGCTGGCAACGGCGCAGGACGATCGAGGACGGAAGAGAGAAGGGAGAGGTATTATCGAAGCTCGCGAAGGATGTCGTCGGAGGGGTGGTAGCTGCTCTTGATCCGCATGGAGCTTGCCGGAAGCTGCGGCATAAAGAATGACTGGGCTGGCTGAGACGGTTTAATCATTTGCCCACCGTCCTGGCTTTCGTTCGCATAGGAAGGGGCGGGATGCAGGCAATGCAAGAATGTTGATTTTGGGAAAGCTGGGTGGGAGAGTGTGAGATGCCCAAGCCTCCTGGTGAAAGCTAGGTAGAGGTCAGACCTCCTGTTAGCAGCACTGGTGGATGGGCTGGAGGCAGAAGCAATCCCACGTGTTTGGGACCATCTGCCTGCGACAGGTCAGAAGGTGGTTTTGGGCTGCGCTGCCACTCGATGCGTCATAGCTGCTGCCACCGTCGAATCAACGGACCAGGGTTTGCCCGTTTGGCAATCGCTGCCGGGGTCCCTGGCAACTGGGTGACAGAAGAAGTGAGACACCAATTGAAGGGCGACCACTTTCTAGGAGAATCAGAATACCTGGTCATATTCAACGACAGAATGAACAATATTCCATGTATTGCCTCTTAATGTGTGCTTATTGTTAACACTGAATAATCTGGCAATACTACCTATCCAAGGCTCGAAAATGGTAAGCAGCATGCTACTGAGGTACTTTTATATTCCGGGGGCGGCGTCGGAATGCATAAATCAGGCCTGGAATTCCGGACAAGAATTATTCAGACGCTATGGCTCCCAAAGCTCTAGCCTATCCTCTCTCGAAATAGTTAAGCGATGCTCGCCAGCAGACAGAAGCTATCGAGTCAATTCGAACAATGCTTGCTCATGGGCAGGCGCAACCATCACAAGAAGTCGCTAATACTTCAGGTGAAAGCGGCGTACAGCCGAACTCTGAACTGGTCAGTCTTCGACAGGAACTGAAGGATATCAGCTCACTTTACAAGGCGTTACGCACAAGCAGCTCAAGGATGAGCATGAAGAATTATATAAGGATCATACCTAAGAGCGTGAATAACATCCACACGCTTCAAACACAGATGAGATGCCAGAATACAGTCAACGGCATGCTCCTCGAAGAGCTGGCAGCGATTAGAGAGATATGCTCACCCGATTAGAGAGATGTGCTCACCTGGTGCAAAGCTACCCAAAAGCTATGAAAAAGCAGCGGGGGAGCAGAGCGAGAATGTAGCAAGGTCCCAAAGCTTTGGTCAAGGCTAGCCTTGGAGAAGCAAGATCCCCTCGAGACGTTCTCAGAAGAGTTTTCTGTTCGGTCAGTGCTATCGACTAGGTAGCTCCTCATTTGCGGAACACATGGGGGCTCCTCGGGAAGCGAAACTTAGTACACTGAAATTGGAGCAAATCGGCCGCGACTCTTTTGGGACAGTATTCGAGGTTCCTGATACAGAATGGTGTCTCAAAAAGACCCTTACCTCGCCAGCAATGCGGATATCGACGCTCTACTTCCTCCGCTTCCAGGTCATGCCTCTAAACACGATGGCAAGGATGTTCAAAGCTGAGAAACCCGTTAGCTATGTACGTTACGTACCTAGCTTTAAATAGAATATTACTAGAGTTTCAATCGAATGGTAGCCTGTTTCTTCCAAATGCCTCTTTAGGTATGACTTGAGTGAACCTGATGGCAATTTACCTTCTTGCGTACTAAATAGTGATTGGGTACGGCATAAGCTTGTACAAAATGGTGAACCAGTGTATAGGTCGAAGCGGAGGGGCTTTTTATTCCCATCCAAGCATAAAAGTATCCAAAGCAGGTACGATATCGAGATGATCACTCTTTAAAGTTGAGATATGAAACATATAGGGATCTCTTATGTAGCGATAAACCAACTCATTGGGTAGGCAGCTTGGTTGTTTTTAAGAGCTTGATGCCATGTATTAAGCTCGCAGCAGAGAATTGAGAGGAGCCAGAATCCTAATCCTACAGCAGGTTGCTCACCTCTGAGGCTACATCTTAAACCAGCCAATCTCACGTCCACCTCAGTCTACCAACCTAACCAACACCCAGTACTCAAACTGGAGGTTGAAATTTTACCAGGCCCCTAAAATTTGCAGTAGATGTGATATTAATTTCGAAGAAGGGTTAACTGACAAACTAGCTACATACTTCACCTCGCGTAATAAAGTAATTTCATCTATTCTCTATCACGCAACCTTAAGCATACGTCCTTAACATCACACAAAGCTGCACCCAGACTCACATCAGATCTTCTTCTCACAACGTTCTTGGCACGTTGGTTCTCCTAGAGTACCGACACTTGTACCGCTTCCTGCGCGTATATGGCCGAGAGCTACCTCTGATATGGACAACTTACCACGAATCGGCTCACTGGGCCCTCCCCAGAACACTAATCTGCCTTGGGTTCAGTGGACAGAGATTAACGCCGTAAATGACAACGCCCGCAACAGAAACATAGCTTGGAAGATATATCTCGTATATCTTCGTGAAGGCTCATCCTGGGAAGCTAGAAGCCACCAAGAAATACGGCATTATTTCCTCGTCGCACGTGCCTATCGCCAAGCGCGAGGTGCATGGAGTAGTCCCAGCCCGACCCAACTCTGGCGGTCCGCAAATTTATGCGAGGAGAACTGGACTGTGGCTCTAGGCCACTTTCTCATAGCACAATATCCCACACATGAACGACTCTTGTTCTGGGCTTCTAACCGCCGAGTCTACCCAGCAGTCCATGAGGGCGTGCTTAGGCCCAGGACGGATGAGACGATAAACAGGACGAGTGGGCCTGGTCCTCGGACGGCCGATGGCACAGATAACCTTGTCTCGTTAGGTGTGGAATCATACTACTCAAGGATTCCACCTATAGTTGCCCAGTTTGAGGTTTCAGAGAATGCCTCCCAGCCCCTAGCACTTGAAAGGGGCTTACGGGAATCAGAGAGCGGAAGTCTGTCTGATGGCATCTCGCCTGAAGGAAACTCGGCAAATACAACGGCACCAGGGCCATCACCAGGTCTGGAGCTAGAGCTTGAAGCAGACCCAGAAGTAGAGCTAGAAGATGATGAACACCGGCCGTTGGTAGCAATACGATACTCTGGACAACATGGCATATCTAGTCGGAATGGGCGCCGATCGCCATCATATCACACAGCATACTCACCAGCCTCAGTTCTCAACAACGCTTTAAGAGGCTTAGAGTCTGAATTCGAAGAATATGATAGCAAGGCAGCCATTAGTCCCCGCCCGCCCACCCCGCGACTATCTCATCATGAGTCTCAACCTGTGGACATGGACGGTGAATTTACTAGACATCCTGATGTCCAGTTTCGCCAAAAGATTTCAGAACTGATCCACACGGTTAAAGGCGATGTTGACAAGCTGTCACATGAGATATTCGTGCACAGGCGAGCAGCAGCAAATCGACGAGCAGACATCCGAGGCGATGTAGCAGACATCCGAAACGATGCAGCAGAGTTGAGGGGAAATTTTAACAATTTTAGGACCAAGACCCTAAATACCCTCGAAGGTATTACGAAAAGAGTTACCTTGGTCGAGCAATTAGCTGCTGGCCTTTGTCAGAACCAAATCGCCGGTTCCATGAACAGCCTCGACGAGGGCAATAATGGCGATACTTCTCCAATCCCGAGCCACGCAGAGATGTATACTATGATATCGGGCATTAAAGAAAAGATTGCGACATTGCTGGTCGTAGCCAGAGCGCCTGATCCGAGAGTGGCACAAATCCAGCGATCTCTCAACACCACCCAGGGGTACTTTGAACAGTGCTTACGGGAGATGGAGAAGGATATCTGGGATTTAAAAAGGAAGCACGAGGCAGACACGCTCACTATCGATGATCTGAAGCGGCAAATAACAACACAGCTTCAGATTAACGCAACAATGATGGAGACACTGCATTCCATGGAGAAACGAGTGGGCCAGCAGCTGCGTGCCTTAAACGCTAGGCTCGAGATGCGACAGGGCGAATAATTCAAATCTAGACAAGCAAGTTCATCCCATGTAAATATCTCGTTGCAAATTACCAGACCATGGAATTGCGATTGAATGGGGTTTTGCTCCTTTGGAAAAGGACGAGATATTCGACCCGCTTAGGAATATCGACATGGCATAGAGCACCATTGCATTTGATTCTTGGTTCGCCGACTCTGCCATGTATCGATTCTCACCGGAGGATTGGCATACCATCCCCAAGATTCTGTCATACGTGCCAATACCACCAATACCTCTCTATGGAGGTCGACATGGCACACGGCGACAGGATCTGGGGTGGCAGGAGGACGAGACCGTTGTACTCAAACGTCCAGAGCCCACATTCGATATGGGTAACAATGAGAGAAGCGAGGCCATAGGGAAACTCCGTTGTGCTGAATGCCCAGAAGAATTCGAGAGCATTGGTCTCCTCCTGCGCCACTGCCATAATCTATATTCCGATAATTCACTGCAGCTATGCGAAGACATCAATGCTGGCCAGCTTGAATTATATAAGAAATACTAGAGGAAACAAAAGGAGGGCCAACCTTTCGCATGCCCACAATGCGGTGCGAGGTTCAAAGATAAAAGCTAGGTCAAAAAAGCAGCTCCAGACTTTCCATACAGATAAGATGCATATCTGTGATATCTGCGTTGGCGAATACACATCGGATCATTACGCGACCATCTAATCAAATCCCATGGATCAAGCCCGGACGACGAACGCTGCAAACGCCACGTGAAGACAAAGACGTCCAGCCTTGCCTAAGCGTCCTGAATCGTCAAAAACAGATTCCTGCGTTTTATGTGTTTACGGGATCTGTGATAGATCTTACAAGGGCGAGACCAGTTTGTTAAATCACATGGCGCTTCATTTCGATGAATAAAATATACATGTGACGAGTGTGGGAAGGACTTCAAGTATGAATGTGACCTAGAGTTCCATATAAGATCTCACTCAGATAAGAAACCTTTCACCTGTGAAATTTATAAGAAGCCCTGTAAAACATAAGATTGCTCTTGCTAAAAATATAAAGAAGCAGCATAATAGAGAATGAAAAGATGAGACCATTGAGCTCAGAGACACCCGGTTAGTGACAGAACTAAATCCACAGAAAACATTATCCTGCGGTATTTTTGAGGTTGATATTGTCATATTATTGAGAGCCAATGATAAATATTAGAAAGACAATACACTACACACTATCGATTTATATCGTTTTGCCTTGCTGTATTGTTCTCGTTATTGCAGCAAATACTCTGCTCTTCAGTTTGATGTCTCATTTCTTCTGTCACCCAGTTGGTGCTGTAGCTCCCAAAAAAATGTGCGCGCTTTCAGTATGTGCCCAACGATGGTCTTCATCAAGATATTGTAATTAAACAAATAAGATTAAGATAAGTATCTACATGCGCCCGGGTATACAAAGTACCAATCACCATTATATTACTTGACCCAGCAAATTCGCCTGGATCATCATCCGGGCGGCCCAGAAACTGGGCTGCGCGTGGCTAGTCAAGCAGGATCGTCACTGCTGCTGTTTTGAACTTTTACGCCCTCATCAAATCATTGTATATACCATTCTCTCTGGCAGATTAGATAGACTGTCCTCCTGCCCAGGATGCATCTCCCACCTGCTTCAACAGCTGACAGAGATTCTCCACCACTGTGGGTATCGCATCATTATACTGGAAGTTGGACCGCAACACCTCTTGAACGATGCCCATGCATCCCCACGGCTCGTCGACGAGCGACTCTGACACGACAGCACTCCCCTTGAGGTTGCGAATCACCGGCCGTCCACTACCAATACCAATGAAATTTTGAATGGCCGCGCTGTCCCCCTCATCTAGGCAGAGCAGCTCCTGGGAATGATGGGGTGAAAGTGATCGCTGTCTTCGACCCGCTCTCGTCATCACCCCATATGCCCACAGTACGACTGCCGCGTGTTGGACCGCCACGGCATAAAAGTCTTTGAGCTGTCCTGGAGCAAACAACCTCGCATACCGAATGACTTGACCTGCATACCAAATGCTAGACCGGGCCTCCGAGGTTGTGCTCCATTGCTGAAGAACTGGGTAGATGCGTCGCGCCTCCTCCTCGCCATCCTTCCCTGTGAACAGCTGAATGTCATCTAGAGAAGCATGGAGGTTCATCAACAACAGATTGAGCACCATGTGGTCTTGGCAGGTCATCTCGAGCCACTCCGCAGATACCATTTGGAAAGTCTGTAGATCTTTCACCAGTTCTTGGTGTCTAGAGCTCAGCAGCAGGTTTTGGTTTCCGCTCATTGAGCTCCCGCCCAAGTTGGACCTGGATCGATGGATGGCGCTCAACTGACGATGTTCAAGGATAAGCGCCCAGAAGGCATGCATGAATATCGACAGTGAAAAGGGCACGTCCAGTTGTCGATATGCCGAACGCAGGAGCTGGCAGTCTTGGATAACGTCACCAACGGTTGGTGCCTTGACATTCCGATCGGTATGGGTTTGAAGGCAGGCCGCCTTCCACTCCAGCGCTGTAGTCGCAGCCCAGAGTTCTCCAGATTCGGGTAGAGGCAATGTGAGTTCAGCATAGGATATTGTCGGGTTTGTGAGCGTCGCCATGGAACACTGTGCATCCCTAACGAAGCAATGAAACACCAATCTGTGCAGATGTCAGTCTCCCGAATTCCAATAGCTGGAAGTGTTCAGACTAACCGTTTCCATTTCTCTCTGTCGACCCATCTTCGCCATTTATCTTCTAGAACAGCACCTTCGTCTGCGGCGTCGGCCAACATTGAGGGGTAATGAGAGCCCTGGAATTTTCGCCGGTGCCGCATCATCTATAAAATTATTAGCTGGCTTGAAAGGAACTTGGCATTATCAGCCATGATCTTGGTATACTAACCTGAACAGGGGTCGCCAGATAGCACTCTGCAATGTCCATCTTGCGTCTGTTCCCGCTCCAGAGACCGACGTCCTGCACCATGATCAATGACTGAAGAAGGGCCATATCCTGGATTGCCAGGTTATTCTCTTCCAGCTTTTTGTTTTTATTAGCACACTTCACGAGGACAAACGCTGTGGGATGCTGTTTTGATTCAGCAGTGGGGAGTAGGCTCACCTGAGTCGTAATGGAGGTTCCTGAAACTCTGTTAACACATTATCTTTTGGGGCATTTTGAAGGCAGTGTTCACTTACGAACTGCTTCTTGGAGAACAAAGCCGAATTTCCGGAGGCATAGTATGGGCGAGGATACGGCCCCTGCTGCTGCAGCAATAGCTATCCACTCAGGCAATTGAGACGCGGGCCTCAGAGTAGGGAAATGGATCCAATCGTATGGCTGGCGTGCCATCGAGGCCAAGAACTGTTGAACCAGGAAGTCCATGACCTCAAGAGAAGGAAAGGATCCAACGATCCGATTCAGGCTTGGGTTTTGGCGGCTCGCATTGAGTAGGATCGCAAGAACCCGGTCCCGACCAGATTGTACGAGAGTTTCCGGAACAGTTCGCTCGAACGACTCTTCGCGACCATATGCGGTATCCTGGCTACTCGCTTCCCAAGTCCTCGGTGGGTTCCCCCATGCTCTCGCAAGAGCTTGGCGACTGTATAGGGCATCTAGGGAATGTGGTCAGCTAATTTCATCCAACGCCTTAATTGATACGGCTTCCATTCTGGAGGGAGGCAACCTATGCGTACCTTCCAAGTTTGCCAAGTCCTCGACGGTGAGCTCTAAATTCTCATGATCACAAAAATCAAGCACGGTTAGGCCCTGAATGTGGGATCCACGGCCAGAGTCTGCTGAGCCATCGAGAAGAATATCGCGCAGGAAATCGGCATATGGGAGGCGATTGGGGTCCATTGCACTGGCGGAGGGCTCAAGCTCAATTGGCGGCAGCAAGAACTCGGAGCTCCCTATATTTGATAGGCGTTAGCTGATGTTTTGTGGGCTAGGATTGACAGAGCTTCAGCCTCGCAATTGGACGGTGGCGCAGGCATAGAGGACTAATTCGGCAGAAACTAACTTGGCTCTTGGAAGGGCAGTTTTGCCAGTGAATGAGGTAGATTCACATTGCTCCGGTCTTGGGCTGCATCAAGCACAATCGAGTGAGGCGCAGGCAGAGTGACGGAGCGGGGTTGGTGGGAACTGGTGGTAAAGGGCGCCGGGGAATTAGAATCCCTGGTCGACGTCGCCGAATGGGAAGAGTGGGTGGCCGCGACCGACTTATCACCATCATTATTCAGATTTCCACTGTTATTTGGGTTGGGGGCACCAGAATGCGCATTGGCTGATAAGTGCATGAGGTGCATGGCTGCCGTCGAAGGAGTCTCGGTGGAGACGCAATTGAGGTTTCTACTAACACAGCGCTTGCACGGCTTGGTGTCGTCACACTTCACTCTTGCAACAGCGCAGGACCGACACGCATGCGACACTCGCCCTGCGCCTGGCGATGTGGTCGTGCGCCGGCGCTTTTTGGGAGAGTCGTTGTCATGGTTCGCAACATGTCGCCGCAGCAGGTCCTTGCGCGCAAACGACTTTTGGCAAATGTCGCAGACAAATCGACGACCTAGGGTGTGCGTCTGCACATGGCGGACCAGATGCTCGGGCCTGGAGTACGACCTGCCGCAATCTCGGCAGGCATACAGATTATTCCCCCGATGGTTGGACTGCGAAGTGGGTGTAGCTACCTGCGCTGCCTTCGATGCGCCAGCGACCGCTGCTGGTGGAGACGTCTGCGAAGCCTGGAGCGTTGCACCTGGCTGGGCAGGCACATTATCGCGGCCGAGACTCTGGGAGTGAGACGGAGTATGGTCAAAGTTATTAGACAGCGTCTGGTGGCTGTATGCCGAAGTGGTTGTCGGGGAGGCTGTGAGAGGCGCCGGAAGCAGAGCTGGTGCAGACGTGTGTGGTGTTAGTGCCAAAGTTGACTCGATTGGGATGGCCAATCCTGGCGCTGGTCGCACTGGCACTGTCGACGTTGTTATTGTCGAATGTTGCGAGAGTGGTGATGCCGATGACACAGCAGGTCCAAGTTTGGAATGCGACGGTGCTGTCGAAATTGGCGTGCTATTGGGGTAGCCATGGCTGTGGTGGTGATGGTGATGGTGGTGGTGGAGTTGTTGATGGTGGGGGAGGTGGTGGTTCGGGGGACTGTCGTTCCTCGTCGCAATGGAGGGCAGTGTCGTCGAGAATCGATCGTGCCCTGACGTCGGCTGGGGAGACTCGAGGATGTGGGACAGCGACGGACCGGCCATGGCTCTCTCGCTCCCTTTCCAAACTTTGTTCCTTCTTTTTCCTGGCTCCCTCTCTTTTTTTTGCCTGGCTGGAGCGTAGATCCAACTCGAAAAGGCCGGACGCGCGTACTTGCAAACCCCAGCGCAACACCTACGTACCTGACCTAACCTACAATGCCCTACCTCACTGTCCAGTCCATATAGCAGTGGAACTGGAGACAGCCAGGTACAGCACAGTAGGAACGGTACCGGTATTGGTACAGTTGGATCTGGTACTATCTACAGGGCAGTGGGCCCAGAGGCACCGAGTGCGGGCCGGACATGGGCGGCGTCGTGGTTGAGGGAGGCTGTGCCTGGGAGCGACGAGATTCGCCAGCGATCAACGGGACGGGTTCGAGAGGAGGAAAGGTTGTCAAAGGCAAATGTAAAACAACAACCACGGACTTGTCTGGCTGTAGTACTAAAAGGCAAGGAAGGACCCGACCCCCAGAGGCCGAGGGGGGCCAGCCAGTGCATACTTGAGGCGCCCAAGGTGGGTTGTCGTCGTAAGCTCTTTTTCTCTTCTGCGCTGCACCGCACCACTTATCTAATTGGGGGGACCATCCCGCCCCGAGAAGAGGTACCCTCCCGCTCCCGGGGGCGTCCCGCCGCTGTAATGCCCAGGCCCAGGCCCCAGGCAGAGCTGAAGCGAACTGGACGACCACCACCTAAAAGCACCTACGCGCCTGCGCTGGCAACGTCTACCTCTTACATCCATCCTACCTCTCCAACCTGCTAGAATCCAACCTACCTACACTCATACTCTACCTACCTTACCTTGCTACCGTATGCATGTAGCTAAGTGGCAATAGCTGAGCTGCATGCCTAGCTGAGGGTGCTGAATTCATGTCTGCCGCCCCGGCGCAGCAATGACACCTCTCGCTCTTGGCGCTGCTTTCCCTGGCCAATTGCCTCTATCCTGGCTCTCTTGCTGCTAAGAAAATGCCGTGTACAGGCAGGGTGCAGGCCATCGCCAATCTCCATATTATTATTACTATTATTTACCACCGTCTGGTCTTGGCTTGGCTTGGGCCTGGTCCATCGCCTCGCATCAGCTACCTCTACTCCTCCCAAGTGGCTCCGTACTATTTATGAGATGGCCTCGTCATCTTTATCTCTCGTCTTGGGGCCATATCTCTCGGCAGTACTATTGAAGCACGCTTGGAGCGTGGACTTGGAGCCCTTCAACCCCCCTTACTATACAGCCTTGCCCATGCGCTGACTCCCCCGCCAGGCGACCTGCTACTGCTGCTAACGTCACCACTAGCCCACTGCTACGCGCATCATTCAGGTACTATCTGAGCAATGGGCGTTAAGCCAGGAATGACGGATGAGAAAAGAGAGTTCAATCCAGGAACGAAGTGAAGGACGATTAAGCTTATTATACCAGCCCGTTTTCGAGCCACTTTCACTCGAAGCCGATCTTGCCCGTTTCGTACGGCCCTGTCGTCCCCAATACACAAGCTCACTTCGGAGTCGCATGCCATGCATAGCAATCAGGAATGTGCAATTGATCTGAGCAAGTCGGCACAAGCACGCTTAATCGGCAAGCCTGTCGAGAGGCATTCGCTGAGCCGCACGGCGTTTGGGCCAATTGGGGATCAGCAGGCGGCCCATTAGCTCATGTGCTTATTAGCCAAGAAGTCGAAGAAGGAAGATGAAACTGGTTGCGTGTACGATCTTGGCATTCCGGCCAATTTGGTGCCGAGCGAAGAGTTTTTTTTGCCCTTGGTCATAATAATGATCAATTGGGCTCCTTGCAGGCCAGCCCTCAATCTCGTTGGCTGCTGACGCTTCCAATCGCATCCATGATTCCTCAAACATGGAATTGCCCGATTGCACGGTTCCTTGTTGAGGATTTCCTTGATGGCCGTCCTCAGCGCGCAGCCGCTTCGAGCACCTCCTTTTCGGCTTGCCGGTACCGCTGGCTGATTCCGAACTTGTGGACTGCCAAGACAAAAGAGCACTGAGACATTAGATATAATTATTCCTCCTGCCACGCGTCCACCTACCTTTATTAGCGACATTGTACTAACCCCCCACTCTTCCGTCTGTCGCGGCTGATAGACTGGCCTTTGGACGTTCTGGACCCAATCCGCGGGGGCAGCTTCTCTGAAGCTCACAGGCCCGATCCACGCCCTCGCAGCCTCGACGAACGGCCCTTCATGGTGCTTTTGCTTGGCAATCTTCAATCTACTAATTAGCCGCAATGACACAACCAGCTGCGATTGGACGGCCCAGAGCAACGGCTCCAACCCAGCCAAGAACAAAAAAAAAATTATCCGTTGTTGAAGAAGTCAGGCCAGGAGAGGCAACACGCGTCAGCGTCCGGCCTCAGCCCTATCGCGTACTGGCACATCCATCTGGGTACGCGCAGGGCAGTGTCCACTCTCGACTTCGAGCCGTGCAGGTGGGTAACTCAAGAGCCTGGTCGCCTGGGCCTAGACGCCAAGAGCCAATGGGCCATCCGTATAATATCCGTGGCGCCTATCACAATGCCATGTCCGGGCACTTGATACAGCACACAGCTGGTCTGCTCGTCGAATTGGGGATACGCCGTCCCCTTCCTTGCTGCCTGCGAGCTACCTATCCGTGCACTGGGCCCCAATTTTCGACCCTGGAGCAAAGGATTCTAGCTATGGAGTCCATCAAATTGACCAAACGGACGGCCTCCAGATGCGACATGCCAAAACACGGCGAGTACCGGGATTACCCTAAAGGGTTGAAAACCCCCGGGATAGGGAGTGCCTCCGGTGCCCAGTGCCATGTGAAATTTATCGTGATACAACCTTTGAATTATAGGCTAATCCACAACGCTGACATCTCCAATTGATTCCTCTTTCCAGAGAATGACGGGACCGAAACCGATCACGGATGTGTGGGGTCCTCCTAGCAAGCGGATCGGGCCATGCGGGGTAATGAATAATTAAGTAATGGTTTCTGGAGTTTTGAATGAGAAAAAGTCCAACCCCAAACTCGAATGATATCGCATGTGGAGGATAGTTGACAAGAACAGCTCACGAATGATAACTTTCCAATTGATTATTGACACAGTGAAAGGAGGCAACTTGGTACAAGTACAGTAAACTCATTTCATCAATTCTTTCCCCATTTTAGATATCTATCATAGGTATCTATCAGGTCTATCCATCAGCCACCAACTCCTAGCTACACAGCAGACAACCATCTATCTTTCTGTACATTTTTTTTTCGTCTCAATTAGTTTTTATCCTTCAGCGAGAGATCTGCCACCTCCTGGGCAACTGTCTCTGCCGGAGCCGGAGCCGGAGCCGGACCTCCTGCCTCCTTCTCCTTGTCCTTCTTCTCCTTGGACTTCTGCTTCTTAGCCTTCTTAGCAGCAGCCTTGGCAGCTGCCTTTTCCGCCTGGAGAGCCTTCTGTCGCTTCAGCTCCTCTCCACCATATGCGAGCTGCCATTCCTCAATCTTTGAGGATGGGATGATGGAGAAGAGCGGCTTAGGTGTGCCAATCTTGTGGCCGGCCGCAATCGAGTTGAAATCCCAAACGTCAGGGATAATGGTGGTGGGCTCAAGAGCCAGCTGGCCGAAGATGGCCTCGCCAATGCCAGGCATATAAGGCGTGACGAGGTTAGCCAGGAGCTGAATGTGGCTGATGGCCACGCGGATGACAGCCTTGCAGCGCTCGGGTTCCTCGGTGAGCAGTCTGCTATCGAGCTTGTTGGCTTGCAAGAACTTGTTTCCAAGCTGGGAAATATCAAGAATATCAGTGACACCAGCACGGAGTCTTGTTCCCTCAAGATGCTCAATGTAGAGTGTGAGAGCCTGGTTGGTCGCCTTCTTGTGCTCGTCAATGACATCGTCGCTATAGCTAGATTCGGGGACGACTCCATCCAGCTTGGCGACGCAGAACTTGAGAACACGGTTGATGAAGTTGCCGAGGTTCTTCAGTAGCTCGTTGTTGTTGGTGTCGAGGAACTCTTCCCACTTGAACTCTGTGTCGGCAGTCTCAGGTCGGCGCGAGAGGAGGTAGAATCTCCAAATATCAGAGTCGACACCAGTATCCTTGGCATTGTGGCCAAAAACACCAACACCCCGGGACTTGCTGAATTTACCACCCTCGTAGTTGAGATATTCAGTCGCAGAGATTTTGTGAACCTTTGTCCATTCCTGGTTTGTTCCTATCTGAGACGATGGGAATACGATACTGTGGAATGTCACATTGTCCTTGCCCATGAATTGCATGAGCGTCACATTCTCGGGGTTCTTCCACCACTGCTCCCACTTGGTGCCCGCTAGGTCGTCACCGTCCGTGTAGGTCTTGGTGATAGAGACATATCCAATGCAGGCGTCGAACCAGACATAGAATACCTTGCTGAGATATTCCTCCACATTGAGACCCTCAACCGCAGGGATGGGTACACCCCAACGAAGATCTCGAGTAATAGCACGGGGTTGGAGACCCTTGTCGATCCATGCCTGAGCAATGGCCAGCGCATTGGTGCTCCAATTTCCATTCTTGGTCGCCGATTTATACCACTCAACGACCCGCTCTTGAAGAGCGTCTAGCTTCAGATAGAGATGCTTTGTCGTCCGTCTTTCGGGAGTCGCACCGTCGACCTTGCAGCGAGGGTTGATGAGCCAGCCGGTAGCCTTAGCCTCGTCTGCTTGGCCATCTGCGTTAGATGCATCTTGTTCGGGTTTGAGAGGGTCTAGCATGGCACCACAGGCGTCGCACTGGTCTCCTCTCGCTCCTTTGTCGTGGCAAATAGAACACTCGCCCTCAACAAAGCGATCGGCGAGGAAAGTGTTATGTGATTCTACAGGGCA